GGTTGTCATCCCTTTGTGGGATGTAATTTTTCGTTACTTGAAGCCCTACTCTGGCTCTTGCCAGGGGCCGCAATATAGCCCGCCATAAATATGGTCTGAAGGCTGAACGCAGTTTCTGGGACCTCTCCACGGGTGATCCTCATCCACATGGTGGCACTTTCTGTCCTCTGGTGTTTATCGCTTGTGTGATGTCCTGGTGGGGTAAAATGTACACACACACACATAATGATGATAAATGTTCTGGAGATCGTGCTCAGTAAGCGAGCACTATGATAGTCGACCAGATCAAGAAGACCTGCAGTGGGGAACTGCAGCTACCAAATGAGATTACTGTGATAGCCACAATGTGCCAGAAAGTCAGGCGTTGGGTGGTACGGATCTCTGTGACGAGCTGGTCTGGGCCTTTTATTTAGTTATCATTTGAATTTTCAAAATAAATGTAGTTAATGTTCTTACAGTTTTCTGAAGTTTCATTTTAACTGTAATTGTGTCAGTGAACAAAAGCTAGTATAACTTTAATACATTTAAATATACAAATTTAATAACAGTAGGGAATAGATGTGGGCAAACCCCAAATCCTCTGATTTAACCAGCAAGGCTGGGGGCAATATAAACCTGTATTAAGATTTAATGTTTGTAATTCCCTATGTAAAGTGCACATAGTGCAGTCGCTAGTAAAAAGCGAAGTTACCCGCCACAATCTCCACCTCAACGATCAAGAGATTCTCGAGCAGATGAAGCAAGAGAACCTTACACTCAAGCTAAGTAAAGCAGAGAGATTCGGATCGAAACTAAACCTGTTACTGGAGGCAGTCATTACATCAGAATGCGAGGACATTACTGGAGCAGTCTACCTGAACTAGATGAAGCAGAGACCTGAGCAGTTCATTCCGCAGGTGCCCATTGCTCCCATTGTCAAAACGCCTGGCACTCCTGCTCCACCTGTGTAAGCGAACTCGAAATCTATCGATACTGTTCCGAGCATCACTTATTCAAGGACTGCCATCTGGCTAAGATTGACACAGACTTCAGGAAGGCAAATGCAAACAGAAAATGCGCCAACTGTTCTGGCCAATACTGTGCCAAGTACCAAGGGGGCCCATATCTCCAGCAATGCCGAGAAATCACCACCACATCCGTCAGGGAAAACATCCCGTACCAAGAAGCCTACAGGAGATATGAGGTCCCTAAAGGCATACCGACAGCTGCCGCCCGCAAGATCAGCAATGAAATTACGCTACAGATAGACGAAATCCAGGCCCTACGAGAAGAAAACACGAAAATGTATTTATCACACACCTTATCTAAGATGATAATGCATTATGAATTATTAATCAACACAGACACTCTGAAGTGATTTAATGTTTAGATGGCGGCTCGTATTGGTCTAGAAGGTAGTCCACAGCTCCAACGACAATCCAACATCACTTCAGGGATGAACTAAAATTACAGGCTCCACAGAACCATTAGATATTCCTGGGCACAACCTGGCCAGACTTCATCACCACTTGTAAGCCCCGAGACTATATAGAATCACTATCATAGTCAAATAAAACAGTAATAGCAGAAAGCAGCTGATAATATACTTAACACTTTCACCAACCTAACTAAAGGATACAGTGAAATACCTTATACCATGAAAGTAAGATTCAGAATAACAGAGATGTACTGAATTTCAACAAAGGTAGGATATCACTGAATGGGTTTTTTAAAAAAAAACACCACAATATATGTATATATCAGTAAAAACTAGGGCTGTACCGAATAGTGATTTTCACTATTCGGCCGAATACGAATTGCTGGAACAACTATTCTGCCGAATACGAATAAGAATACGAATAGTGAATCATCATTATCAGGTACTTTGCCGACTGGCGTAGGCGATTACACCTCGCCACAATCTGCAATCTCCTGCAGCATGTATTAGTTCGTGTGCTAACACACCTCCATGCCATGCAACAAGACTGTCAACAATCTTCTCTCGTTGTCTCCCTCTATCCCTCCTTTCACAGATCTTTTTAGTGGTCACCACATGTTCCATTTTCCCTCATCTTATAACGTGGCCGAAAAATGATGACCGTCTCCCTCTGATGTCTATGATAAGTTGTCTTCGGGCTCCCGCCTCTATCAAAACCTCTTGGTTGCTTTTCTTTTGGCTGTTAAGGGTATTTTAAGCATTGTTCTGTAAAACCACATCTCTGAGGCCTCAAGAAATTGTTTGGCCTGCCTACCGATTTTCCAGGACTTACAGCCATATGTTAAAACTGGATGTATGTAGCAAGCAAGAATTCTTTTTCTAACCTTCAATGACAAAGTTATATTGTATAAGATGTTCTTCATTTTATAAAATGCAATTTTTTGCATGTCCTATTCTGTTTCTTATTTCAGTAATGCATCTTCCATCTGATGTTATCCATGTGCAAATATACTTAAATTTCTGTACTTGTCCCAAAATAAAACCACTGACTTTTATTACACATTTAGGAATAATTATTTTCTATGATAGCACCGTTACTTCTGTCTTCCCACTATTCAAACTGCGGCCCATTCTTCCACTTTCGTGTATAAAATAGATCTAAAAAAAAAAACATCCATAATTTTAAATGTACGCTGAAATTTTACTTCACAAAATGTAGTACAGAATAGAAAACATTTAAAAACATTTCATATTTTGCATCATTCAGTCAGTCAGTCTGTGGTAACTAATACCTATGAATGAAAGTATTCTTAGTTGTATAACAAGTAATTAAACTTTTAAATTGTCACTGACATCTTAGTTAATCCATGAAACAAAAAAAATCGCTTCATGTTGTCAGCAATAAGGTAGCTTCTTGTCTCACTGAAGCTATACTAAACAGACGTTCACTTAGTACGCTCGTAGGTGGTGCACAAAGAAAACGCTTGGCAGTATGAACCAAAGTGGGAAATCTTGATATGTTTATTTTCCAGCAGTCCAGAAACGGATGTAAGGTAACCACTATTCGTATTCGGCCCGACCGCAACTATTCGACCGAATACCGAATTGTTATTAGGTCCACTATTCGGCCCCGAAGCGAATACGAAGCGAATATTCGATACAGGCCTAGAAAAAAACTACTCTTAGCTCAGTCAGAACACAAAGTCTTAGTGGTTGGCCATAAGTCTTGGTCTCTTTCACTCATCTCAAGTAGTGAAACAGTGCAGATCCTTCATCTCGTGGGGTAGGCAAGGCATAAAAATAAACACAGTTCCTCACTTATGGTCCACTGGCAGGTAATGGAACTGGTCTGGCAATTCTAGCTGCTAACACAGCTGCTGCATGCTGATGTACAGTCTGGAGTTCATTCCCTTCACGGGTCTGACTCAACATGTCACACCAGCTTCTGGATTTCTGAATAATAATTATGGTGTCTGGTGGATATGACTGAGCATAGGTGGAATGGGTGACTTCGCCCAGGCGGAGTGAGGTCTGAGGGATGCAAAACTTTGGTGTAGACTCTTGGGTTTTGGTTCCGACATTAGTTCCAGCTAAATCAGCACACTTTCTGGATCACAGCTTACACATCCCATACTCATTGAAAATTCCCAGGTGAAACGGAGATTTCAATACAGATACATCGGTAAGATGACACTGAAGCTTTATGCCGTTCGCTGTCTGGGGAAGCTGTGTGAAGAATGACCCACAAATTTCGAACTCGCTCAAACTAGAAGCAAGAACAACCCTGAAATCACTTACCTATGATTGAATTGAAATATAATTCACTCCCAAAAGAATTCATATTAAACTGGGTACTTTCCCGACATCTTGACCCATACTTATCAAAGAAGGACTATATACTTATAGCAGAAGAGTTCATGTTTGAAATAAGCTAATTTGCATAGGGGTGTACAAGATAAGGATAGGCTCGAGAGAAGTGGGTCATGCGACCTTTATTGTTTGCTTTTTTTTTAATGCCATTGCTTACAACAGTTGCGTCATATTAAAACATGGGCTGTGATTAAATAAACTAGTCATATTTCTTGAAAACCTGAGCCAGTCAACATTTCTTTAATGTTATGTTTGTCCTCAATACATCATAATTATTTAAGATCAGCTGCATTTTGGTTCTTGAGTAGTGTACACAAGTTTCGAATTATCACGGCATTAAACTGACTCCTAGCTGGAAGCTTGCATGGCTCCGTTACTTAATTTACAATAGTCATTGTACTGGCTAAATAACAGACAGTACTTGTTTGTCATAGGCTATGGGAATCAACACACAAACAGTACTTGTTTGTCATAGGCTATGGGAACCAACACACAAACAGTACTTGTTTGTCATAGGCTATGGGAACCAACACACAAACAGTAATTGTTTGTCATAGGCTATGGGAACCAACACAAAAACAGTACTTGTTTGTTATAGGCTATGGGAACCAACACACAAACAGTACTTGTTTGTTATAGGCTATGAGAACCAACACACAAACAGTACTTATTTGTTATAGGCTATGGGAACCAACACACAAACAGTACTTGTTTGTTATAGGCTATGAGAACCAACACACAAACAGTAATTTGTTTGTCATAGGCTATGAGAACCAACACACAAACAGTACTTGTTTGTTATAGGCTATGGAAACCAACACACAAACAGGAATTGTTTGTCATAGGCTATGGGAACCAACACACAAACATTACTGGTTTGTTATAGGCTATGGGAACCAACACACAAACAGTACTTGTTTGTCATAGGCTATGGGAACCAACACACAAACATTACTGGTTTGTTATATAGGCTATGGGAACCAACACACAAACAGTACTTGTTTTTTATAGGCTATGGGAACCAACACACAAACAGTACTTGTTTTTTATTGGCTATGGGAACCAACACACAAACGTATGTGATGTAAGAAACGATAGAGTAAAAAGTGCATTTGTCTAGATTTATAATTTACGAGATGATGTACATTACAGCAGGGTTAATTTTGCTAACTGATATTATACATACTGTATTTGTCTTTTTTCGTTGCATTAGATAACCGGTGTCATGACACAAGGCAGAGGAGACGGTACGGAGTGGGTCAGTCGGTTCATGATCTCCTACAGCATGGACGCATATCACTGGAATTACGTCACAGATAACTATGGCAACCAGTGGGTGAGTAGCAAGGCACTGTGATTTATCCCTGAAAATGTTTTTGTGAGGTTTGACTAAACTTTATAATGGCAAACTCTTCGGGTTGAATTTAAATAGCTTATTTAAAATAATAAATATTCCAATTGCCACCTTGGCTAAAGAATGTATGTTGGCTGATCAAGTACTTAGGATAAGTTTATGCAGTAGCATTTGTTATATCTGTCAAAATATATTATTTGTTTTCTTGCATATATATATAATCGATGTTAGTGCAATTATTCCACCGGAGGACAGTAAACTGCATAAATAAGGAGCATGTTTGATTTACCTTAGTTTTTGGCTGTCTGTTAACATAATGTCAAATAAAATCAACTAACAAATCCTGAGGCTACAGACTATCCAGAAGTTAAACTAAGACCTAAAAGTGGCCTGTGTATGTTACTTGACGAAATAGTTTCTGTTGATGATGCCTGCTAGTCGAGCTGGGGTTTTCAGAGAAGTACTGAAAATACTGAGGACAGAGAAGAAAAAAACAATGAAAGCATCGAGAAATGTAGTTGTAACATTTCTCGTCAAAAGAGAACACAAATTATTAGTTTAAAAAATTGAAGGACCCTTTTCCACGCCTTTAGGTGTATCGGGCATATCGGGCTAGACCTATATTTTTATAGACCAATCGGCACAAGATGGGTGATGTAGTCAGCATCACGCCGGCCGCCTTCACTTTCCCGGGACTGCACCCGGTACCCACTCAAGGCTGGGTCGACCTGGGAGCCAAGGTCATTTTTGAAAAAAGACCAGCTCCGTCAGGGAACGAACCCACGACCTTCCGATCCGCGGCGAGCGTCTAGCCGCTCCGCCACGGGGACCCCAAATTATTAGCCTTACAATGAAAATCCTTGTCGAAAAAGGGAATTCGACATGAAAGGGTATCTAGATTGATGAAATAAGATTTTACTGTCTAATTGAGCTCATTTTGAACCTTCATCTTTGTACCAGGGGTACGCGGATGTGGAGAGCAACTGGTGTGCAGATTATTTGGTGAGCGCTATGGTTATTATACAAACCGGTCCTGCATTGGAGAAGAGCAAAAACATCAATGTCATGCCAGATGTGTGTCCCGAACATAAATGCTGTGATAGGCACGACTCCGTATCCATATCCAGGTCTATGGGTGTGTGGACGCAATATGCAGCTGCCAGAATCACCAGTCATTTGATTAAGGGTAGACGAAATTTGATTAATCAACACAGTAAGAGCGTGGTCGTCGGCTCTGTGGCTAAGTCGATGCGAACGCTTCGTAATGCCGGGATGCCGG